CCTTGGGTGAAGCACTGTCCTCTATATAACCAGTTAGATAAATCCTGTTGAAAATTAATTCCTGGAAAGACATTTTATATGTTTACTCCTGACTTTCAGTTACTTACTTCTACAAAGAAGGATCAAGAAGAAAACCAAAGTGAAAGAACACGTTGTGGGATCAAGAGGTAGTTGTCAATGTGGCTGCTTTGCAAGCACTAGGATTTGAGTTCAATCCCCAGATCATGTTTTTAAAATTGCTTGGCATGCTGGCATGCTCAGGGAGGTGAGACAAGCAGGTCCCTGGGCTCACTGGCATGCCAACCTAACTTTCTTGGTGAGCTCAAAGTCAGTTAGAAATCCAGTCTCAAAATAAAAGTGGGCAGCTCTAAGGGATCACACCTTAGGCTACCCCGTTGCTTCCACAACTCTGCAAATGTAGGTATACTTGCATAGACATGTGCCTACAGACAGAAAAGGAGCAAGAAGGAGAGAGGGGGCAGAGAGACGGAGACACAGAGAGCTTTTTGCACCATGAAAACCTGTAGGCAGACCATGGGAAAGTTGGTAAGATTTCCCACTCATGTACATAAAACATCTACCACCATGAATGCCTATAAGAGAATATATGTTATGTTCTGTGTTTGAATTTCTCAGCCCCGGAATTGCAGGCATTAGGGGACAGATATTTTGATGGAGCAGGGGCTGCCATTTATTGTAGGATGCTCAACAACATCCCTGGCCTTCGCTAGCAGATGCCAATGACGTACCACTTCCCCATTTTGTGGCAATAAAAAAATAACCCTAGCTATTGTCAAATGCATCTCAGGGGACATAACTGAGCAAGATTGGATCTGGTCGCCTTGACATTTGGAAATACTCATATGGAGAAAGTGCTGGCTACAAGCATTTTCTACTTTGGGAAAATAAATCTAGGACAACATAAGCAGTTTACTTTTGTTTCCTTGAATATTATGCACTTATATGAAAACAGAAATAAGAACATAAATATAATGCCACTTAAGAAATCAGTATGGCTCTCTCTTATAGTCACATCTCAGTTAGTTAGTTTTAAAAGTCTCAGTTTGTCAAAACAATATAATTTTAAAGAATGAGCATGTTCTGTCTATTTACTTCATGCCATAAAACATCCCTGATCAACCATTTTATGGCCTATGAGAGTGTATTAGTTCTTTATGCAAAGTGTGTAACTGCCCCTTGTCTTGACTCTGCTTTTTCTTAGCTCCCTCTGAAGTCACAGCTTTCTGGATTTCACTTTTATCTAGCCATTATTCATCCTGATTCAGCTGCTTTCCTGACTATTCATCTGATAAGTTTTTGGGAGTTTCCAGAATTGAACTTGATTTCTTGTAATATTTCCTTTCCCTAGGGATCTCTCTGACATCGCATACCATGTCAGTGTTGTGCTCCCATGACTGTTGCAGAAGCATCTCATTTGGATGTCTCAGCCTGCTCTGATTTTTGCCATCTTGCGGTATGTGTTTCCCATGACCATCTGCTTATATGAGGTCCTAACTGACACTCTTTTGGTCATTTCACTGTTAGTTCATTATCATATCCTACTTGTAACATGAGACTTTTTGGTCTGTTCATGGCCACTGATGCTGCCCTCAGTCCAGGCCATGATTATTTCTGAACTACACAATAGATTCCTAATGATTTCCACGCATCAACTCTTGACTCCTCACGAATCTGTTCTCCCCTCCAAATCATTTAAAATATTACTGAGCTTGTTCTGAGTGCACAAACTTTCCAATCCCCTCTGGCTACACTTGGACAATTTGAGGCTCCCATCACTACTCACCATGCTTTTCAGAATCCAGACTCTACCTACACCAGCAAATAACTCCCCCATTTAGGCATCCAACCGCGCTGACTTTTTATTCAATTTCTCATCATATTTTCACAAAACATTTCATATATAAACAACAGTGACACAAAAATATGGACAAGTATTTTGAATTAGGATGTAAAAGCAATATTAGGGCATACCAGTTTCCCAGTACTTGGTAATCCGGTGAACAACCAAGCCCTTCAAAAAAATTACACAATAAAACAGGCGCTGATAAGTTAAACACAGAAGGGTGAGAAACTCCCAACCCCAGAGCTAGTTTACATGTTGTGAATTATATGTTCTTCTGAGATAGAGACACTGTAGACGGAAAAATAACAAGAAAGAAAATGGGAATGAAAGAGCAATTTCAGAGATAGTCTGTACTTGGCAGAACTAGAGAGGTTCTGCTTACTTTAAGTTCTAAGGGATCCTCAAACTCCCTCTCTCCCACTCTGCCCCTCCTTCTACCTCTTCTTCACTCTCTTCCTTTCCTTCCTTCCCTCTCTGGCTCTCCTTCAAAGCTGCTTTCACTGAGAAGAAGTGGATTAAGAGGAAGAGGAGGAGAAGGTGGAGGAGGAAGAGGAGGAATAAGATTTCCAAATCCTTCCAGAAATCACATAGACAAAGTTTGTCTGGGTTTATCAGGTTGATGAAAATTCTTTGGACAATGACAGAAAAATAAGAAAAAATAAAAGTGGAGATTATATCAAATTTCTCGATAACAAGTTAATATATTTTTGCATTTTTAGCTCCAATTCCAAGACAATGTCCCCTTCAGGTAAAGAAAAAAAAAATAATGAAAGCATCATTACTCTGTTGGAGGAAAAAAATCTCCAAAGTTGTGAAATTAACCTCTTCCTTCATTCACACATTCAGTTCTATTTTTGGAGCTGCACCAGGAATCTAAGAGAAAAGCAGTGAAAGTCAATGCCAGGTTCCTAAAATGTCTGAGTACATTTGTCCTGGTTCTCTCCGGCACCTTCCCCACGACTAGGCCAGGTCCTATTTTCGCAGAGCATCAGTGTTTATCATTTGTTTTACAATAGCACTGCATGTTCTAAAAGACTAACTCAGATGATTTCACCCACTCTCTCTCTGCACAGACTCAAAAGAGACAAATGCCACAAAACACAATCTACCACTGAGGCACGGCTAATTTTCTAAGAGAGTGCTTCCTTCTTGCCCTCTTTGCTCAATATTTATTTCATTACAGTGGGGCCTCTGCCCCACAAGGCGCAGATTGTGTCAGAGTTTATGACACATTTCCACAGTGTAATTAGACATTATAAAAATTCACTCTGGGAATTTAAAAAAAAAAATTAAATATTACCAGAAGAAAAGTCTTTCCCATGCCCCTCATGCTAAAAGATTAATGATAACTTTCTTATTCAGGAAGACTGAGAACAGAACCTTGTATGCATTTTGACTGCATATTTGAAACAACCTATTTTTTTTTTTACAGGCAAATGTTCTAAGTTGTGAAATCAGAAAGACATGGAAAATTTCTGCCATGTCTAATAAATCACAAGCAGGTTACTTCATTCCTCTGCCTCAGTTTCTCATCTATAAAGACATTAACAATGAGTACCATAGAGAGACACTGAAGGGAGTAAACCAGACAATTAGACAAGTGCAGACGTCAACCCTCTCCTACCTGCTCAGTACATGCCTGTATTATAAAGATGGAAGGGCACAGAAAAGACCTTCACCTTTCAGTTTGTTATCAGCCTCAGGATTTCTACTCTGTCATTACAAATGGGAAAAAAGGTATTTTGTCTTTGCAGTACCAGAAGGAAACCTAGGCAGCCCAGAGATACTTCTTCAGAGGAAAGAAAAATAAAGCGAAGTTAGAGGCAGACTCCCAGGTAAAGGAGACCTGCCCGTTCCCAGCCACATCACTCCTCACGGGGATCAGAAGGCCCACGCAGGCGTCACTGCCCTCTGCTCTGCTATTCCTGGCTCTGTGAGCTTTGACAAATCTCCACAAGCTGCCCTTCTCTCAGAGAGAAGACAGAGAAGCCAAGCTCTGATTGTTCATTCTCAGATGCAACTAGAAGAACATCTGGAGAAAAAGACGTTCTTAGGGGCCCAGCACAAAACTTCTCAATGGAAATTTTGCTCATATTCCCTCTATCAAATAATTAGAAGATTAAAAAAACTAGTTTAGAACAGTGAAGTATGCACAAAAAAGCTTGCCTGACTGTAGTAATTGCAGATAAAAAAGTTGGGGGACCCACCACTGTCCTTTAGCAATTTTCCCTGTCTGTCTGTCCCCCTCCCTGGGGAGACTGATATTGTGTTGTCTTCATGACAGTGAGGAAACTCAGGCAAGAAAAGTTAAGAAACTTCTCAAGAAGACTATACATAAAAAAACCAAAACGAAAAAAAGAAAAAGAAACCAAAAATTTGCCTGAAATAAGTTTGGTCCCAGAAAGTAGCATCTGATGTCCCATCCCCCACTCTTTCACTCACTGGGAAAACCATCCTCAGACCCTTGAAGCCCTACTTCCCACCAGTCAGCATTGCATCCTCTACCTGAGTCTCCACACCTGAATTAATGAGTTGGAATGACCACTGAGAGAATGTTAGGCTCCCCTCCCTTAACACGTCCAAGGGACACATTTCAAAACACTACAATGCCACAAGACCAAAGTGGGCACACGCGATCGCGGTACAATAAAACAACACAGGATTCTAACAACGGAGGCTGAGGACCAGGTTCCTCCCGGGCCATGTGCACGTCATGCTCTAGTCATCTGTGAAACTTTACATTACCAAGAAGCCAAAAGCATGAGACTATTCCAACTGTATACGAAGGTAACTGAAAACCTTAAGCTGCTTCGGGTCTAAGATACACTGGGCTCTGCAGACCGTGCCCCTGATGCCAAGACTGATAGTCCAGATCTGATAACACATGAACTTCCTAATGAAGGCTTTCACTAACTCAACTTCTTTCAAATCTGGAACAGTTACAGACTTACACAGCACTCAATCACTCATTTTTTTTTTTTTTTTGACTACTGCTAATCAGAATCCTTTTGCTTCCCTCTTTACAGGTTATCTCCCCACAGCCTACAAATTACTGCAGACTCTCTGCACAGGAAAATGTAGACACCCAGTAAGATACTCTTTTCACAGTTCTCTGAGAGTCTTGAAAGAAACTCACCCGTTGTGTTGTGCATTCCCTCCTTACCAACGCGCGCTGCGGTTTCCAAAACGAGCCCAGTCCTTCTGAACTTTTCTGTATCTGTTATCATATTAGAGAGCCAGAAGGAAGGGAAGTGGTTAGTCAACTTGCTAATTTTATCAGTTCCCTCCACCCCCGATTAAACAGTACCTGACTATCCGCACGAGAAATCAGTGTTCCAGCCTGTTTCTCCGCCACAGCACAACCAGGAGGCAGAGGGAGAGACTGGATCTGGCTGGTAGTGTAAGACACTCAATGAATGAGAATCTTTTTACTATTAATAAGGAGCCTAATAGATGCCAGAAACCAGTGATTCAACCGAATGAAGAGGAGGAAGGAGGATGTCTGTCAGCTCATACTCCAGCAAACTCGTATGGGTGGGCAAGGGGGTGATTTTCATGCAATCAGAGGATACGTGGGATGTGGCTGGTGTTTCATTTGTTGATAAATTGTTCTGCACTGGAACGGAGCCAGTTTACCGGATATAGAAACTTCCACAACTTGGGGCCCTGGCTCAGACCACTCTTCCTCTGGCGCTCAGTAATTAAGAGACAGGACAAAGCAGAAAATGTGTGCCTCCGGATAAGGGAAAATTAACCGCTCTCCGGAGAAGCAGCTATGAATGTGCCCTGGAAGGAAAACTCCACAAGAAACGAGGAGAAAATACAGACCCAGAGACAGATTTTAATGAAATAAAAAGCTTTTGATGTTTCTACCCAACTCTGAAAGGCTGCAACAAATATAAAACACTGTCACCCCGGAACCCTAGATCAGGCAATTTCCTGAGCTACTTAAATGGCTGGTATTTGAACTAAATCTGAAGTGCTCACTTTGAAGTACATTTCCCACCATATCTAAGGATTATGGAATTAGAAAAAGAGAATGTCTGAAACCCAAATCATCTGCAAGGCTCATTAACCCTTGTGGTAGATTGCCTGACAATCCATTCACTCAGCAATTCTAATGGATTGGAATCACATGACTTGATACATACATACATATATATATATATATGTGTGTGTGTGTGTGTATATATGTACATATATATGTGTATGTATGTATATATATGTATATACATATGTATATATGTGTATGTATATATATGTATATATACATATATATACATACACACACATATATATATATATATACATATATATGTATGTAAATATACAAGTAAATTTTGTGCACTGGTGCAGGCTGGGGAGAGAAGCCTTTGGGCACCCTTCCCTTACTACCCTTCTTCAAATCAGTGTCACTAACCAAATAAACAAGGAGGGGACGCAAGCAGCAGGGAGATTGTCACATTTCTTTTCCACTCCCACAAGCCCACTTTCTACTTAGATGTAAGGAAACGTGTTCCTTGATATGAATGTGAAGGAAATGCAGGCAGCATCCTACTGGGGATCCCACATAGCTTTCTTCCTAAGAAGCAGCAGCTCTGTCATTTTAAGCACCCCACCCCATCCATGTTTGTAGGGGTTTAAGGTGGGAAGAAACCCGAGGAACTCCACGCTTCACAATCATGACCATATGGTTCCCCTTTCTCTCTCGTAGGCATTTCTCCCTAACAGTCCCTTTTCTCCAGGTCTTCACAACTGCCTAGGACTGTTATGTTCTGCAGGACGCTGCAGCCCCTTTAAGAAGCTTCTTCCCCACTGGTCTCTGTAGGCATGAACATGTAGCACAGATATGCATTCAAACAGAACACGCATAAACATGTAAGTAAATAAATATTACGGACTATAAAAGTGAACATGAAAAATGATTATTTTGTAACAGGATCTGAGAATTGTTCCTTATTCTTGAAGACTATAAAAGAGTCTTGGCTTTTGTGTGTGTGTGTGTGTGTGTGTGTGTGTGTGTGTGTTGAATGAGGGGTCACTACAGGAACAGAGAAGAAGCTATAATGTGTTGACTGTTTGAGGCCATTAGCAACACTGAGGTCAGTGGTATGGTTGTTCAAACCATGACGAATCCGTAGTGAACCTTCAAAACAGGAAATAGGACTATTACCTGGACTATTACCTATATGGTTGCTGTTGTTCTAAGAAATTCATTATCTATTCAGACATCTTAAAGCTGAGAACAGGCAAGAGCATCAAAAGTGAAGGAGGCCAGGGAAGGTAGAGGATGATGAAAGGCATGGCTGCCAGTCAGCAAAGGCTCCCCTGTGAGGAGGCAGGAATGATGGGTCCCAGCAACAGAGAATTCCCTGTCTTTCAATAGAAAATAAACCCCTTTATTTTGTAGCAATTTTTTTTCTCTGCAGATTAGGAGACTTTCATTATGCTATAAAATGTTTATCCTCTGACGTATAAAATCTCTAACCTAGGCTCTTCAATCAAAAAAAAAATGTTTTCATTAATAAAATGAGTAATATCAAAGCCAGGGAGAAAGCTCCTTGGAAGCATGAGGACCTGAGTTTCATCCACAGAAGCCACATTTGAAAAATCTGATGAAGAATGGATAGGGTGGTACAGGTTTATAAGCTTAGCATTGAGAAGGCTGTGACAGGCAGATCCCTGGAGCTCACCGGCCAGCTAAGCCAAACTATGTGGCCAGTTCCAGGGTATTAAGAGACTACTTCAAAACCAAGGTGGACAGCACATGAGGGACAACTAAGCTAAGGTTGAGCTCTGCAATCCACATGCATGCAAAGATGGGTCCTTGCACTCACATGCACACACAAACTAACACGTGCACGCGTGCAAGTACTGAAAGAGACATGGTCCTCACTACAACAAGCAGGCAACCACACACCATCATCCTTCGGTGTAAAAACAGTTATATAAAAATTATACTTAAAGGACTCCAGAGTATCAACCGTCGTGTTTACAGGAAATTCCCATTAATAAAATGATAATTTTTCATCTTCTTTTTGCCCTTCACTATGCTCCAACTTTTCAAAATTAATTTATAAGTTTTTGATTGAGAATTAAGCAACAAAGTATATTTTGGGTCAATTGAAGAGAAAGGAGCTATAAAGATTTATTTGAACACTTAGAAAGGACCAACATTAAAACAAACGATGATCCTCTCATATTCACAGGGGAAAGACTAGCAAAGCTCCTGGACAATAAGAAGAGGTTCATGTCCAAGGAATGACATCCACGACCTACGTCACACAACTGATTATTTTATTTACTTTACCAGACAACCAAAGCCTACATATGAATGATCTAAGTGTATGTAATTACACAGACAACACTCAAAAAATCATATGCTGACTTTAAAGCAAGAGCGTTAAAAAAAAAAAACCTGAAAACTTAAAATTCCCTATGAGCTAACAGTAATGGTAGCAATAATAATTATTGTAATGATGATGGTGATGAAGTTAGCCTTTACTATAAAGATGCTTTGGTAATTTAATTACTTTTTCCTACTTACTAATTTAATATTAGAAGTTGAGTCATATTTGAATTCAATAAAATTGGTTTATTAACTTCCTCTACAGCTTAAAAAATATCCTACATAAAGTCCCTCTTTTAAACTTGTATTATCTTTCACTCTACAAAAATCTTGGACCACACTTTCTTTCCATTAAAGACTTTTCCCCAAAATCAGAATTTTAATTAGAAATGTGGCAAAAATTATCATCAGAGCTACCAAATATTATATCATAAAACAGTCTACTTCTTTGAAATCCACATGAAACAAGGTCATTTAAAATATATAATCAATAGATACTTCAAATTTTATGATTGTTGATTATTTTATTTATTTTATTATTTATTATTTATTTTACACCTCACTGCTTGATTTCTTTCTCTTTAACTCTTTGTTGTATTTCAGTGAGGATGTTTCATTTTGTTTTTGTTAAAAGATAGGGTCTTGCTATAAAACTCAATTTAACCTCAGAATGCTATCCCCATGCCTCTGACTTTAAATGTTCTGCTTATCTACAGACCACCACATCCACCTCTAATATCTCTCTATTCTGTCACAAACATTCATGCAGTACTTATGAGAATGCAGGTCGTGATAATCAGTTATGTTTTTCAACTAGTGACAAGAAGTTTAATTGGAATGGATAGGGTGACATTTCTTCATTTTTCTGGAAATAAAGGATTTTGTGATTGTTTTAATTTCTTTTTTATTTTTTTCTTTATTAATTACACTTTATTCACTTTGTGTTCCCCTGTGGTTCCCTCCCTCCTCCCCTCCCAATCCCTCCCTTCCTCCACCCTCTGCATGCATGCCCCTCCCCAAGTCCACTGATAGGGAAGGGTCTTTTTTTCCTACTTTCTGACCCTAGTCAATCAGGTTTCATCAGGAGTGGCTGCATTGTCTTCTTCTGTGGCCTGGTAATGCTGCTTCCTCCTCAAGAGGAGGTAATTAAAGAGCAGGCCAATCAGTTTTAATTTCTTAACACTAGAGTCTCTTAGGTACCATTTAGGGTTTTTCTTGGAAAAAAGATCCACAATGCACTATTACCCACTAAAAGAAGAGTCAGGAATGCAATTAAAATTTATTTTCTTTCATTTATAAAATGGGGCTCTACTATGGAAAAATGCCTTAAATAAGATTAGTTATATAATGAGCCTTTGTACGATAACTAGTTTAATGTTAATGGTCAAGCATTAGTAAATTCAATTATAAGTAGAATCAAACAATATTTAAATAGTATACTCTTTATATTGAACATACCTAATGACGTGTGTGTGTGTGTGTGTGTGTGTGTGTGTGTGTACAGCTGTGTGTGATCTTCCTTGACAGTGTGTGCGTATACAGGTGTGTGTGATCTTCCGTGATAGTGTGTGTGTGTACAGGTGTGTCTTCTGTAACTATGTGTGTGTGTGTGCGTGTGGGGGTATGTATGGGTGTGCTATGACAGTGTGTGTGTTTTTCTTTAAATATTCTTTCATGGTAGCTGTGAGTTCATTCTGGCTCCCTTTCTAAAGAGCATTACTATATAGTTTTTAAAACTCTTCTAAGATCCATAATCCTATTGAATGGGGAATAAAAACGTGTACTTAGTTTCAGGCAAACAATTGT